TGAAGGGAATAAAGCACTATCCAAACGTACTATTTACCGCTGGATTTGAGCATTGGAAGCTGAACAATTAAGCATCGAAGAATACACCTCGTTTTGATGTCCTCGCGAAGCCGCTATTACACCGCGATCATTAATATTATTGAAAATCTTATAAATAATAACCCTCATATTAGCATTGAAGGTATTTAGGAAGTCATTTTCATTTCAACTGGAAACATTAAAACGCTCTTACATAATAATAACGAAATTTATGTCAGAAAAGTGTGCCAAAGTTCCTCACATGTTTACTAATGCTGCGCCACAAGTCAAAAAGCAGATTCGGGGAAGAATGAGTCATATTGCTCCTTATAGTCTGATCTGGCTCTGTGTGATCTTCGTTATTTCCAAAAAGTTGGTGGAAAGTGGTTTGAGATAATTCAACACCTCACCTATACTGTAAAATCAATCTCTGATAGCAGAGTTAATTTTACAAAATCCTGTGTCAAAACTTTTTGAACGCCCCACGTACAGTCTATATAGACATTAGAAAAGTTTTATGGTTGGTATGTCAATACAAGTCAAATAGTAAAATTCCGGGTTTCATCTACAAAATCAAATTGATGCGATTTGTGGTAGTGTTAGTCTTGTATTAAAGTGATACAATGTCGTAAATGTGACTGCACGCAGATTACGTAAGTGTCGTTCGTATACTGCATGGAAATTAAAAGTTTGGCGTCTGACTTAGTTACCTTTACGATGTAAAACGGTGGGTTTTTTTCTACTAAATTATTTACTTTCCAACACAACGCCACTCGCTTTTTGTTTGATATCAAAGCTATTTGTAAAAGATTAAAACAGAATTTCCGGTAACGTTTACTTTTTATCAGTTCAAATAAGAAAGAAGACCCTTGATGTTTGCAGGAAAAAATGTAAACCGTCTTTTTGCGCATTATTTATAAGGTAAAAATTAACCACACGAAAAAAGCACTACGATCATATCATCCTAAAATCTTCCAAATGTCACAATCAAACACCTGACAGTATAAATTCAATAAAAGTGTCTTTTTAAGTGCGGTCTTAGCCAATAAGTCTATTCTTCGTCGACTCACTGAGTATTAAAGACGAATAAACTTGGGTATAAATTGGTGTGTTTTGCATAATTGCTTTTACAATAATTTTATTAATAGTCCTGCTATTCATAGGTTTTGGTGGTATTCGAGTACTATCTGCCGCTCTGCTTTATTCGTCATTTCTCCAATAATTCGGGGTTTTATAATAATTAGAATAAAATTATAGGAAAAGATAGCCTTACTACTAGTGTGTGTTAAGATAAGCAACATATAATTATTATAATCTTTATTATCGTTAAGTAAATATTTATCGCGTTAAGTACCATTAGAAGTATTTTAAAGGAGAAAAAATCAACTTTATGTTTTTAAATCAATGATACCAAAATTCTCGAGGAATATCTAGATATTATAATTAAACTTAAATACCAAGCTTCACCATAAACTTTGTTTACTTCAATGGCTGTTTTCAATATCAAACATATTAATATCTAATTTGATCTTTGCCCTATTATTATTACACAGTGCCAAATAATTTGTGGGATCAGCCCAAAACCTTTTACAACTTCTTATTTTTGTATGTAGTGTAAGCCTTTTGATAAAACCCCCAACATGTGTACCTGGGGTACACTGCATTACTGATAGTGTGACACAATGCAAAATAATATTAACAGACTTAACATATGTATGTATTGGTCATAATGATAAATTGCATCATGTACTTTCAAATTAATACTAACAGAAAAATACAGAATGGGCATAAATCAAAGGGCAAAAATATTATTATTATATTAGTACCCAGGTATAAATCAAAATCTGCCTTCTGAAACTAGTGGAGGATACATTTCATGGGAGGGAGTACATATGTTGGAGTTTTATAATATTTACTGTTAATGATTTCCAAATTGAACTCAATTACAATGTAGATTCAGAATAATACTTTTTTATTTTGTTCTTTACTTTGTTTTTTAAGCGGTCCCATTCTATTATAAAAATAAAATTTTTTGTTGCTCATATAATTTTCTTATTTGTTATGTTGTCGATGTGTGTGCGAAAAATTGACATAGAATGATTTGAATTTGCAAATATTACATAATGATACCATTTTACAAAAACATAAAACTGAGCGTGCGCATAAAATATCAACATACGATATATTGAGTTTGCATATAATAATAACGATTCTTCGAAAACGCGAAATCAATCTTCATCACTAGCATCACTAAATCAGCAACCAAGAATTCTATGCTTATAAAATTTATATGCATGTTAATTGTAACTGTTGTTGATGTGTGTGCAAAAGATTGACACGGAATATTAAGTACGATTTTGAGTTTGCGTATAATGATCTGCTTGATTTTTCGAAAATGCGAACTCAATCTTTATTGCTATAAAACCTAAATCAGCAACCAAGGATCGTATGCTTATAAAATTTACATACATGTGCTGTTAATGCGTGTGTGCATCAATAAATATTAAGTACAATTTTGAGTTTGCATATAACGATTCTTCGAAAACGCGAAATCAATCTTCATCACTAGCATCACTAAATCAGCAACCAAAAATCCTATGCTTACAAAATTTATATGCATGTTAATTGTAACTGTTGTTGATGTGTGTGCAAAAGATTGACACAGAATATTAAGTACGATTTTGAGTTTGCATATAACGATCTGCTTGATTTTTCGAAAACGCGAAATTAATCTTCATCGCTAGAAACCCTAAATCAACAACCAAGAATCCCATGCTTATAAAATTTACATGCATGTTAAGCGTAACTGTCGTCAATGTGGGTGCAAAAAATTAACACGGAATATCAAGTACGATTTGAATTTGGGTATACCGATTGGCTCGATTTTTCGAAGACGCGAAATCGATTTTCGTCGTTAATCATCATTAAATCAGCAACCAAGAATCCAATGCTCATATAAATTATATGTTTGTTAACCATAACTGTTGTCGAGGTGTATACCAAAAATTGACACAGAATATTAAATACGATTTGAATTTGGATATACCGATTCGCTTGATTCTTCGAAGACGCGAAATCGATTTTCGTCATCAATCATCACTAAACCAACAACCAAGAATCCATGCTCACATAATTTACATGTTTGTTAAACGTAAGTGTTGCCAATGTGTGTGCAGAAAATTGACACAAAATATTAAGTACGATTTGAATTTGACTATACCAATTGCTATGGAAATCGTCACGATACGAAAGTTCAAAGAGCAGATCTTAATAAAGCTGCCATTCATATGAAGAGTTGACTCGATTACCTGCTTTCTATTTATCAATAAATTTAACGAAAGTCGTATCGTTTATTATAAATTATTTTATCAAAATATTTTTACAACTACCCTCCCGCAATCCCCACACTATGATTGCTAATACACATACCGACACCATAAACCACCCCCCGATTGTTCGTAATAGTGCCAGCACTTCCGTCTCCATCACCCCAGTAAAGAAACTAAAATGTTCATGATTGTGGTGGTGGTAATGTCTCTGCAACTTACTTGAGCTCGAGAACGCATAGCATGAAGGGGGTTAGTTAAATAGCGTTACACAAAAATACGCATTGAAATGTTAGGTGACTAAATTGTACTTATCGAAATGTTAGACAATTTTGTTACTAAGATTAATAGAAAGCTTGCATTCAACTTGGCTGCAGAGTTGAAGACCGAATGTAGTCATCCTTGAGCCAGGCGTTAAACCACCCTCTGATGATAGTATTTTGAAAACTTGTCAGACATATTATGGAGACTTTGGGATGGATGAGGAAAGTAGTTTGGATGTTTGGGCTGATCAAGCATCTTGTAAAGATAATATGGACAATTGTGGGCAGGATTAGGACAATGGCATACATCAAAAGATATGTGCAGTGCTCTTATTCCAGCTATGGACTTGCTCATGAACTTGGAGTAACATTTTATGATAAACTAGCAGATAATGTCAACTACCAGTCAACATGTAGGCTGAAGTAAGAGAAGAAAGAGAGGAGTGGGACATTGCATTAGGAGAAAAAACGAATGAGTGGGACATTGTGTTAGGAAAGCAGGATGTCAAGGAGAAGAATGAGGGGGGGGGAAAGCCAACTTACTGGATATGTAATCCCAGTAGTTTTAGAATTAATTTGGGCATCAACAGGAATTGCAATCCATTATTATATTAGACAAAAGGAACTTTCATTAGAACAATTGATGGGAGGTGATAATAACATGGTCAAGGCATGGTTTCTATACTTCAAGTGGGCTAGCATTTGGAAGGAGCATAAATTGGGAATCTGAACAGATATGTAATTTTCCAACTTGGCTGCATTTGCCCTCTATTTCTGAGTGCTGAAAAACTGAGATATGCCAAGTCAGTGATCTTTTTTTTTGGCTGAAATTGCATGTTCTCCTCAACTTCAAGGGCTCCTTCAACATGTCTGTTCAGTAAATCTTACAAACAAAGGGCATTACTTTGCCTTTGATGAAGCACTTGAGTTTCTCAGAGTTCAATTTGTAAAACAGAATTTAACAAAGAGAATAATTAGTGAGGAGAACCTCAAGCATCAGATAAAAGTCATACAATCAGAGAGGTCCATGCTGTTAATTATAAAAACATTTACAATTTTTTACTTGAATCCCCTCCAGATCATATTAGCACATTTTCCATCACTTTCCAAGTAATAGAGGATGATATGTGGTATTTGAAGGAGCTGAGACAAGTAATTTACCAGGCAATCACAACATAAACAGTGAAAAAGTGCAGATTGGAAAGCACTTCATATGCTCTTGTATTAAAGCAAAATTTTTGTCACTTCTTCTACATTGCCATGATTCTTATCTGGATGCCATTCTAAAGCCTTTTTCTTGTAAGCTTTTTTAAACCATCAGGTGAAATGTCATATGACAACAAATCTGTTTGGAGGCATTTACCTCTAAATCACCTCACCTGAAGATCACAAGTTATTCAGAGGATGCAGTAGTCCTAAATATGACAACTTTTTTGTTGTTATGAAGAGGGAATACAGCATCTAACAGCTCTATACCATCAGGAGGTTCTCCACATAGACCCTATAAATACAAAAGGAAGAAATTGCTGTGCAGTAGATTGAAAGAATCCCAATGAGTTGCCATTGAATAATTGCATGCAACAAGAGGCTGAAATGTTAGATGCTAGAGACAGACCCTGAGTCACTATTACTATTGAAGAGGAAAATAAAGAAGATAAATAATAATAATAACAGTGGTAGTGGTAGTAGTAGTACATATTAATATCTAGCTGATAAACAAACAATAAAAATCGATGGCAATCATAAAAATTCTCATCATTACTTACTTATTGTTATTATTATGTGAAATTCATCAATACAACTATACTAATACGTTGTGAGGTCGCCATTCTATTACTATGTAAAGTAAATCTTTATTATATTATCATTAAATCATTTATTATTTACTAATAATGTATCGTGTTTGAGCTGCAAGTGCGGAATAATACTTTCTGACATACACAGATATTATTAATATATTAATATTATTATAGTTTCTTTCCACTAGTTTCTTCCATTGCAACTAGACGCTGGCATGGCCATACTAATATTAATAGAGTTCTATTCATAACCACTTTGTTTATTATAGCAAACATTTTTGAGAGATGCGGGAAAGAAGATTCCGTAATAGTAAGTAATACATATTAATATTAGTATGGGTAAAGCCAGAGAAATGCAAATCTGAGACTATTCTGTTAGCAGACCGCCAAAGTTCTCTTTATATGTTCGAAATACAACTTGCTACAACAGCAACTACCAGTAATTACGCAAATACCAACTGTCAGTAATATATAACAGTTACATTACCATGTAAGCTTTCGCAAGAACAAATTGCATGAAGAGTCATGGAGAAATGTGCTTCTGACTAACCTCTTTCATTATTACCTTCATATTGACATTAATATTATGATAGTGTATTGAGAAATTGGGACGTAATATACTGTATATAATATGTACTGTATGTATATTACTATTAATATAACGATTCTTCGAAAACGCGAAATCAATCTTCATTGCTAGCGTTATTAAATCAGCAAACAAGAATTCTATGCTTATAAAATTTATATGCATGTTAGTTATAATTGTTGTGTCATTGGAATAATGTGTGTGTGGAAATCACAGTATTGTATTTTGTTTTTAATGGAAAAATAATCAGGATCGCATGCTTATATATGCGGTAGAATTCCACGTTTTTCTGATGACACGTACCTGTAGTTTTATCTGGTAAAATTTACAGCATCGCATGCTTATATACATAACGCTAAAACTTACCACGCTTTTTGATGTTGTTTCGATTTGGTGAAAAGTTGTACTAGCGAAGGAAGTGAAAGAGAAAGTAAGAGAGAAAGTAAGAGTTTAAGGGACGTAAGTGTCGTCTTTAAATGACATTACTCTTCAATAGCTCATTTGTCGAATGAGATCTTTAATATAGTACCTTATCATATGGTAACACTGATAATTAACATAGCGTATGTGTGAAAAACATGAAAATTTTGTCCTATAAAGGCACTTCAGCGCGGAGTCTTTTTTGCCCGATACGAACGTCCTACAATGAAATGTTTCTCGTTCAGTGCATTGCAAATTGGCGATGTACAAGCAATTAAATATCACAGAATGTTTATAAAGGAATTTTAAAAGGGTGAGCTTTCCCCCCCAAATCATAGACAATAACACTACAAAGGGGGATATGTACGTCGATACTGTCCCAAAAGTTTCGTGGAGTAGTTTTCAAATATCGAATTTTAAATTGAGAAGAAATAAGAATAGTGCCTTGGCATTATAACGTAAACAAACCTCGGCAGTTGTACTACGTGTATCTAAACCAGCGGTTTGATTTGCGTAATCGACGACAGCTGACCGTGATTGATACTTGCTGGCCGCGTCCAACAGTACGATACTTTCCGTATCCAGATAAAATCGGCCTATTATGATGATTAGATATGCCGTTCAGAAACGTAAATTAATTAACTAAGACATCGCTAAACGACGCACCCGTTTTCTGTCTTTACAAAAAAAACCACGTACGAAGGGTTTCGCACGCTCAGAAGACAGCTAGACAAAATGGGATAAACAATTAGAGAAATATGTTTATTTGAATAAATCAACAGAATACCAAGACAAATAAAGAAAGGCGAATCGCGAAAGCTGGGAACCAGGTAATACCCGACGCTCTTGAGAATGTAGTACACGCCTAAGAGTGTTCCCACACATCACTTGGGACAGAGTATCTCCATAAACCTCCGATAAGTGATACTCGTCAGGAGACCCCTTCCGCCAGTACGCTAGAACAAATTACCTTTTTCTTCACAGCATCGACTGAATGAGGGTTCAATTCTTCTGCTGTTTTTAAAAAACGGTTGGTCCGCGCACTATTTATGTCGTCCCATTTATCACAATAACAGCGTAGTTTGCACTCAGAAACTCAAGGTATGACCAAAATTTGGAATCGCATTAGGCCACCAACTTTGTCAAAGGAAAAACATAATTAGTATTCGGAGAAGATAAAAAAAAGTGCAGTGAAGAAAAACAATGATTCCTATCAAGACACGTAAGCATGTTTTGGACTCTAAGTTAGATAGAAAGTTGTAATGATCATTACTGTTAATATTTGATAATAGGTGGAAGTATGTTTCGGCAAAAAAATTTTGCAGAATCTCAGATGGACCCGACACGTTGATGACCCGTTAAATCCAAATCATAAAATGGGCCTGGGAAGGAGGGGAAGAATCGGTAGAGATACCGGTATACCATCTTTGACCTAACGAATAAAGCAGTGTTGTACACCTCTTTGACCATCGTCTTCCAAGTGTTATTCTTGTCCGCGATATTCTTGATTTTTTCTCGAGTGAAGTGCTGTCGATTGTGAGCGTGACAGATCCATTTCTTTGGTCGCCGAATCCAATATAACTTCAGCCCTATCAGTGACGCCGCATGTTCACTTTGTCTGGTTTTGTTCTAATAAAAGAATATTTTGGACATGTCTAGTATGTACACATCTATTAGACCTAAGATAAATGCACCAGCATCTCTTGATTGGACTACAGACAACATGTCTTTGGAGGAATAAGTATGATGCTTATGTACAATGGATAGAGTATTCTCTATTGGTGGATGCACGAGAAATGACCTCATTACACCATGGATGCAGATTGGTTGGATCCAATAATAAACACACTCAAGTGGATAGAAATTGCATTGATTGTTGTAATAATTGTAATTGTTTACTCAAATAGCTAATTAATATTAATATTAAGGGATACCCAGCAATATTAACCCCCTGATAATAAGAGCCATCTACTGGGAAATATTATTTACTTTCTACCATGCATGGAATACACACAATATTGAACAGGTTTATGCAAGATGTTTGGTATATGCAGTATGCTGACTTTTATGATTGGATGTGGTGGTTATGGGACAGTCTATACTGCCAAATATAAAAGACAGAAGTACAGCATATGGCAGAAACTGTTGTACTCAAACGTTTGATCAGATACTAGAATTAGGTAAGCATTATTTGATATAATTAACTAATATGATATTTAATCTAACTCTGTTGATTTTTATTTAATAGTTCAGAATCGTGCCAAGTGCTATAGCAAATGGTCATTCCTTAAAATTTAGATTGACACAAGATCCAAAAACAAAAGAGTGCAGCAATATTAATATTAACATAATTAACAGATTCATTGTGTTGTGTGATTTCTGACATAATCTTATTGGTAAATTTCAACTTGCACTAACCTCAAAAACCTAAATGGGGTCATTTTTGTTGTTAGATATTAATCAATTTGGCTGAATCTTACTATCTATTATTATATGAAGTAATACCTCAAACCTTAAATATTATGTAATTATTAACAAGGTGTTAAGAATTAAGAATTAAGAGTTAAGTGTGAGAATGAGTAGAGAATGAGATATACATCTCTCTTCTTCCTCCTCCTCCTCCTCCTCCTCCTCTACTACAATTACTGCCATCAATGCAACTAATGTTACTGAGACATCATCACCCAACACAAGAAATAAACAAAGACAAAGACTGCTCCTACAAGTGATGTCTCTACTGACACCTCCTTCCAGCAAGGTATGTTAGCAAAACGACAAATTAAGAAAATCTCTGACCTTGCCCCTGCAAGACTCAATCTGATGCCTTTTACTACTTAATAGAAAAGTAATCAAATGATTCAATTATTGACTGAGATATGATGCATAAACAAGAATAGGAATATTATTTTATGCATTTGTAGAACAAAAAACAGTTTAATGTTTTGTTTTTCTTATTGTAACAGAATTACTCATAACAATACAAGACCAAATGCAAATATTCAAAAAAACGGGTGGAGAATTAGCCGATAAAAATAAATTCTATATACCTTTTTGTATAGGAAAATATATGAATTCCCAACATATTAACGTTACTCCTCCTCAAATGTATATACTCATCATCCAAAATAATAAGCGATTGTAAATAGTGTTGTATTGCGATCTTTGTCATCCGCCGTTGAATATACAGGTGAACCAAATGTGACCGAAAAACTAAGTAATTCGAGATGCTGTTAACACCAATGTAGATACAGGTTTCTGCAATTTCGTCACGATAACAAGTTTAGAGTTATCACTAAACAATTTTGATGCAACACATGGAAGGCCATCTAGTACTGCTATCACGTCTCGAGAAGGGAGTAAATACTCTAGTAAGCTCTTACCTACAGGAAATTTACCTAAACACCGCGCAAATAGCTATGATTTTTATTCAGCTGCAGGTATGAAGACAACAATTCAAACCAGAATTGTATCCCCCTTAAAATGCAATTATAAATTGCTTTTAACACAAAATTTTATTGATCGGAGTATGATTACAACATTTCTCTTGGGATGAGTTCTTCGCACTGATTCCAAGATTAAATATGCTAAAGCCGACCGATAAATCGGGCAGCCACATTACACACCTCTAGTTATATGTATAAATCAGGTTTTGGGTGATCGGACGCAAATGATATACGACAAAATATGTCGGAATCTCGATTGCCCATCATTGTCTGATACATTTCCCCGCTTGATATCTGTTGAGATGTATTTTCTTCATTGCAAGGTTTACTGGGTTGAGAAACATTATCACTTGCGAATAAGCCATTTTCTGAAAAAGCGTGCGTTACATTATCACTAGATTCGATTTCTTTTGCAGAACAGGATACTTCATATCTTGAATCTTTTGTAATCTCGGAGAGCCATGATCATTGCTGGCTTCAATAGTCTCAACCTCGTATTTACTATTACTCAATTAGGCCGAATGTATAGTTTCCTGGGTATTCTCATCAGCTTACCTCCCCTGACAAATTTGGCAGGTAGGTAGGTTAAAGGGAAATAAAGTGGAAAGATTTCTTTATTGTTTGATAAGATTGTAGTAGAGACAATAGTACGATTACTGTCAATTACTATTTATGGTACCGACCCTCTACCTCCTATACGGTAATTGCTAATTTTAGTATCTTCGATTGCCAAATCTGATAGGGGAGGTAGCTGATGAGAGAAACCTTCGGTTTATTAGAGTAACCCCGCCAGTCTGAAAACCCCGATAACACGAACAAGCATCTTCGGACTGATGCCACAAAAACGTAATCGCATTTTGTTTTTGGCTTTCAACACGCGGGTAAGTGCTATTGATAATCACGATGATATATTATAACGCGAAACTTATAAAATTGACCTATTCGCAACAGCTCTTCAATAATATTTTACTCGATATTATCCTCTGAAGAAGAACATGTTGTTTACACTTCTCTTACTATTCATCACCCTATACCTTATTCGTATTTGGCACTTGCTGCGGACCACTTTGGGTCTCTTTATTAAATATTTTAACATGTAGGTATACCGTAGTTACGTCCCTTAGAACCTGCAAGGAAAAAGCAGTTTACACGTCTCCTAACAGCGATACATTTCATCTAGATCTAGAAAACGCCCCCCCCCCCCTCCCGAGAAAGAAAAGAGAACCGCCAGAACGGATTCAGCGAAGAGGTGAAGACTCTTATCAGAGCATGGGGAGATATCATACTTAACAAGCACAAGGACGATAAATTCGACGACGACGAGAGATTGCAAGGGTGCTTGACAAGGCTATAAAAAAGAAGAGTTACCATTACTGCATTGCAATGGTGGTAGCACCTTCCTTCTCCAAGTATGCAGTTAAGAATCTCCATATGCCAGAAATATCACGGAAAATGACGTTGCCCAGGGTAATGCAAAGATCTTACCTTAATGACTATTTACCATTTATTTATTATAACTTTTTTACAGCATTATCTTTTGAAAGTTTTCTAACTTGCCAATTTTTTTTTGAATCAGTCGTCCTCAATACTCCTGGGTATAGGCCAATAAACGACATGTTTCCTATTCCATAATTACTACTCGGGACGACCTTATCCTACCATAGGACGAGTATACGTGGTAACCTTCCATAGGACCCTTCCATAGGACCGGGTCATTCGAAGCAACCGAGATGTTTCGTGTGTTTGATTAATACAACCATTCAATTCATTGAATTTGAATTAGCTGCTTACTTTATTAACGAAAATTCGTAGTGTTTTTCTAGTAAGAAAAACAATGAGTTTGTTCCTTTGTAGCCTTGAATAGTTTGTCGAGCATGGGCTACCATATTTCACGGACTAAAGTACCAGTGGTATTATACTAAGGGTATTATAATAGGAGTATGTAAATCGCTATTTTATTAGCTGTAACGTGCTTAAAAAATTAACTTGCAACATATTGCTTGCTTTAATATGACGGTCGAAAGGCACGTCTTACATGTAAACAGCGTCGTTCTTGGTTGTAGAGAGAAATTGATGGTTGTTTGTTATCATGAACGTGGTCACTCTATAAAGAAAACTGTACCATGCATGGCATTTGTGTAACAAATCGATCATGTTTTACATTTAAATCGCCGATTGTATGCTCTTGATTCATCCCCGCAGTAGAAACTTATGGATATCAGAAGCGTTTATCTGCTAAATAATTTATTGCAGTCTTGCTTCGACAGAAGACACTAGCTCAGCCAAAACTGACCGTGCAAACGTATCTAATGATATTAAGAAAGATGCTAATGCCCCAGATATCAGTCCTGATAAGCGTCCAGATGCACGGACAATTCGGGATGCTTATTGGCGACGTAGACAAGGATTATTCTGACAGCAATGCATAGAATACCATCCATTGTAATGATGTAAAACCCTTCTAATATAGAGTAAATACTCTAGTAAGCTCTTACACAGGAGATTTACCCTAACCCAAACCGAGAAATAGTTATGAAGACAACGATTGGTTACGTGTTGGTGAATAAAGTCAATTTACAATATTAACATCATCCATTGTTTACGTAATTATTCAGGGGTTTACTCCTCTTCCAATTAGCGCACATACATTTGTACTGTACGTTGATATTATAGTCCGCTCGGTGGGAAAATATAACAAAAAAACAACAATTTTGCTATTGCTCCTCAACGATTTAACCAATTTTCATAAACAAGACTTTATTTGAAAGATAAAAACAACCAAATTCATTTGATAGTAAATTAATAAAAATTACAAGCTCACAACGTCGCCGTCAAACTAATTGTACTAGGTTTTTATTGTTACGGTCAGGTCAGAGGGTCTGGGGTTTGAGAGAGCGGTTACTCTTTCGCATAGGAGTGTTACGACCGAGAATGTTACCAGATTTAGCTTCGTGCTACCGCGCCCTTATTACGGTAGTTGTTCAATTAAGACTGAATTCTAAATCTACAAGTAACCTATTTAAATTGCGCGCTTCCTAACTCCCTATCCGAGCTCCAATCCAAATACAGGTGCCCACGATACAATAACAACAACAATTATTCTACCGCAGAATCAAAGGGGAAATAAATCTATTTTTAAATTAAACAGGGCTTTCTTGATTTGGTATTTCGACTAGTCGGGTTCCGTCACTTGTCTCGAAATAACTAATTGAACAATTTTCGTTTCAATAAATAATTATTGGCTCTCGTTCCTCAATTAATCAACGTACAACTTATACGCTTGAATGAGCCGTTTACAGCTTGAGTGAGCCGTTTATACAACATGAGAATTTGACGATGGAATAAGGTCGCTCATATAAAAGTAGTTAAATAATCGTAATTTCTATGAAGAACCAATCATATTCTAAGTTAGCTAATGGCATTTGCGCTGACACTTACGGGGTATCTGACACTGAAAATGCGCGACGCCGTACTACCATCTAAAATTAACATTGATCATGGGGTTTTGCTTGACTGCGGAGAGGGTTTACCATGTGACTTGCTTATCTGAGTCATATCGAAAGGTTGTCCATAATTTCTGGAGCATTCCCCGCCCCGCAAAAACTTTTTGGCAAGATGACTCGTATGTTTGTATTACTGTCTGGTTGTATCACCAATCACCCTGTTAGCATCCCGTAAGGCATTTAAAGGATTTCATGGTATACATTATCCGCCAAAAGCAAAATACTTGTTTTTCCTCTTGCTGAAAAAAAATTCCGGTTTTTTTGTTACAAACTGTATAATAGGAGAGAACTGAACGTGAAAAAAGCTATTGAACTTTCAGAAAAATGGCCATGTAAGATAACGGTTGCTTATATCTACAGCTCAAGACAATTTTCGTTGCACGCCTAAGAAGGCATAGTGCCAACTCGACGTGAACGCCCTTTTCTGCTTTGATAAATATGTTAAAGGAAGAGTAGAGAATTCAAAACTCGAATAACTGTTAATGAAACTGATAGTCAATTGTAGAATCGGTTCAACACAGATGTAATTTCGTGGTTTCTTTCCACACCGTGAAATGAGCTCTACCAGAATCGAACTAAGTTTATTATTGAACAGATAAGAATTGTTTATGTTACTTCTGTATTCAAGACTTTTTTCCTCTCACCTGTTAACAAATAATAAGCATCAAACTTAATCTATTTAATACTGCAAAAAATAATTAAACAAAAAAATGTCTTTTATTACTAATTAGATTTATCTTAGTTTGCGATACGACTAGGGTCGCGTCAAAGAATGAGATTAAAGCATAATCGGTAATTAACCCGACACACGTCGTACAGCCCATAATATTTCAGGCAGAAATAATATTCTACCATTCACAATAAAAACAGTAAAGATCTACTCTTAACTCCCATAATATTCGAGCCTGTACGACGTGTGTCGATAGTTAAAGCGTATTAGTATTAGTATATTAATATCATTGTACTGCAAAATTTAATTTCTTAAAAGGCAGCAACTCCCTTCGAAATATTTAACATGGCTTCACTTACAACGAAACCCAAGTTGGCTGTCATCCTCGGGTGAGCCATTAATACTAATGATAACATTACTATACTGTCGCAACTTTGTTAATTTATCATTCGACTGATCTATTAGTACAATGACCTTTGGCTACCGAGGAATGACAATGCGTATTAACAACTTGAATACTGTCCAGAGTATCTTGGAAGCATTTAAAGCTCAGGGATGGAATGAACTTGGTAAATATACTAGTCTACCTGGCAGAACGACAGTGATGTAATCGAATTAAATTCATTTGGAAACGTCTATCGTAGACACCGCAAGAATGTACTGTGATGGTACAACTGAAGAGGTAATTTACCGTGTATCTCGATAGAATCGATTTGTTTGAAATCATTGAACCAAGATATCTAATGACAATATGTAATCTCGTTTGATATTCAATATTCGGTTTAGATGTTAGGACAACTTGAAGCCCAAAACAAAGGAGGATTCAAGCTAGCGACCAAAGGCAAGCCTATCTTGCAGACTTACGATCTTGGTTAACGGATAGACTATAACTATATATATATACATAGCAAATACAATACTCATATTATCGATCTTGTGCAGTGTATCCTATGCAAGGAGGAGAGCATCAGCCAGAAAAACTAAAAGAATTATTCAAAGAATCGTTGACAGCTCTCAAAGTAAACAAAGTGGATATATTTTACTTACATGCACCGGATCATACTACTCCTATTGAGTTAACGCTCGGAGCAGTGCAAGAGTTATACCAAGCCGGGCATTTCACTGAGGTATATTCGATCATTGATTTTACGCCATAGATCCCAAAACTTGCTAACAAACCCTATACATTATATATCTCCCCCCAATCCTATCAGTTCGGCTTATCAAATTATAGTTCATGGCAAGTAGCAGATATATACCACATATGCAAGAGTAAGGGTTACGTGTTACCCACTGTCTACCAAGGAATGTACAATGCAATAACTCGAGGAGTGGAAGCCGAACTTCTCCCGTGTCTACGAAAATTCAACATTCGCTTTTACGCATACAATCCCATTGCAGGCGGACTTTTCAAAGAACATTTCTCCTTTGATGGTGATGTTCCAAAAGGAAGTCGCTTTGATCCCAACACTGTAGTAGGGAAAATGTACGTTTCAGGGATATAAATCATATCGACAACACTATCACTGATATTGTCGTTGTTGTCGTTGTTGTAGTCGCCACCGTTTATTTGTTTGGTACTCACAAGAATGCATCTATGTAGGTATCGCTCAAGATATGTAACTCCAGCTCATGCGAAAGCCGTTGCCAATATCCAACAAGCTACAGCTTCCCATGGTTATTCTGCCATAGAAGCCGCGTTCAGGTGGATTAGACATCATAGTAAATTGGATGCTGCTTTCGGAGATGGGGTTATAATTGGAGGTTCGTCCTTGGAGCATATTGTCTCTGCCTGCCAGTTGCTTGATAAAGAAGAACCTTTGGAAGAAGACGTTGTCGAAGCTTTGGATGCTGGGTGGAAGACGGTTATGGCTTCCTCCGTGCCCTATTTCAGGTGATAAGTATCGATTGTTAGTATTAGTGAGAGGTTATAACAGAGATGACGGTGGGTATATAGTGTGAACGAAATGCTGGTACCAAATGTCTCTGTCACATAATCAATTAAATTATTAACGGGATAATAAAAAACATATTTACATTAATCGATCAACCGAGCTAGTGATATCCGTGATACCTTCCGAATCGTGCTGACCCAATAAGGAACAGAATTCTCACTACCCCAAAGTTGATAACCAACCTGATGGCTGACATTATCATAATATATATGAAAAAACTATTTGGATTCGGTATTTATTTATATACGAGTCAACAACACAGAATTCGCCAGAAATGTGATGAGGCGTATTAACCCAGTTACAAGCCATCTGTCACCAAGGCAAATGTAAAATTAAATTAAAAAGACATGATAACCCAATGTCGCACTTTTGGGAAGCGTATGTGAATACAAGAAAAAAAAACTATCATACATAAGAATATTGATGTCATGAGTTGTGAACAAATGGTATTATGAATAGAACATCCAAGGATAAACGGAATGATGACTTTGTGAAATGACGTATTAATGATAACCTGTTATAGAGTTCTTTACCCTCATGTAAGTATAATGATGAATGTACAGTATTTGTCCTGATGCTCATCTCATCTGCTCGAGATTATTTATATGGTTGAGAAAGCCGTCCAGAATGCAGACATCAACAACAGAATTCAAAAGTAATTTTGCCATATATTTTGATCGTCTCACTTTCCTCTAGACTCTTCAGATGTGGCAAAGATAAGGTTAACATGCAAGCTTATCCAAGCTGACCCTTTCTCAACGAGATTCAGCTAGTTTTGCTGGCGCCGGGAGCGATTTTGAGTTCTAAGAGGAAGGCGGTGGAATTGCAGGTAGTTTGATTGGAATTAAGCCTGTAGAAAGAAGGGATACCAATTAGCCTATTTCATTTCGTTTAGAAACAATGTTCGTCGTTCTCGATACTCACGCTTTCCATCGGCACCATAAGTCGCTCTAGCACCGTTCTGCAATTTCCAAATTGTAGCATCAAACCTATCAATACAATCACGTTTCTCCTCATAAGTCGCAGCCCTCAACATATAGTCCCCCCTGTTAGTCACTATCTGGAAGCAATACGGGTGTGAATATAACCCATCTTCAATATCACGAATACTAGCAGATGCAAGGTCAATCTGTGTCTCGAAAATGTGTTTCCCGTGATGGTTCAAACAGAAGAGTAAAATGTCGTTGAAGAGAAAATACGTGCGAAGATCGGACCCTTTGGATGGAGTGGCAGAGTGCAGATCACCCTTGTGGATAAATCTGCGTGCTGGTTTGACTATGTCATCTGGAAGGCCTTGAATTTCTACTATTTTTTGTTGGTTCTCGGCATCTCTTATTCTAAAATAATAGAAGAATAAGATTGTTAAAAAAAAGAAAAGAAAGATATATTACCCACAACTCAATTCATATGATGTAGTCTGTGCTTTTAGCATAGACGCTTATCTTACTTTTCATTAACTTCGTCTGCAATGACTGATATCTGCTGTACACATTTTTGTAGATTCTCATGGTCAGGATGAGATTCATCTGTGTATTTTAGCACAGCTTCTAACAACATCTTATACCGAGGAATCCGCTGAATGGGTAGTGTCAAAAAGGAATTCATAGGTAGCCCCCCAAGTTCGGGTCGCTCCATGCAATGCTATGTAAACAAATAATATATATGAGTGAAACTAGTACAAACACGATACCAATATAGACATATAGAGTCTGAGAGTATTTACCGCCATGAGCTTCTTAAATCCTTGTGCTTCCTTCTTTAGGCGTTCGATCGTGCCAACGGCTTGAGGGAAATTCTTTAGATAAGTTGTGTACATTTTCAAGTACGGTGCCTAAAGTATTGATACAATGAACGTCAGTCAATGAAGCGACTAATGTGTCGAAGGAGAATATTAAAGCGACTTACAGTATGGATGAATATATCACTGATGAATTCATTTGAACTCCATTTCTGGTACCTAATGTTAAAAGAAAGCGCGAACGTTAAAAAAACCCCCAACTACAGGATTAAAAAGACTGATAAACCCCCCAATTTTACGAGCATCTTTCTTATCAACTCTAAAGACTCGCACAACTCTCTCCAACATACCTCTCCTCCAAGCTCTTCAACAGTTGCTCATGCAAAGTTAACAATTGCTCGATATTCCCAAATATCATGTTAATATCCTCCATCGAAGCTGCACGCTTTGTTGGCAAAAGCCCATTCTTTGCAGTTGGCAAAAGCCCATTCTTTGTAGTTGACTTTTGGCAATTCTCTCTAAGAGGATTCAAAAAGAAAGATACGCATTTTCGCAGTCCCTCAACGTAAGAGCGTTCGGATGTGATTATTTCTTTGACTGCTAATTCGCGCTTTTTCATTCTTGATGCCGAGTCTAAATAAAGTTGTTGAAGTAGTAAGTAAATGAATAGCAACGATCATATACAGCATAGAATAATTTATGTTGAAAAATTCAATTGTTATTTGCAAACAGCAGATTAATACTATATAACTTGTTCCCAAGTGCTAAATGCTAGGTACCTGAATTCTGCTTCTCATTCTGTCCAGCTGCTACCACCTGCGAAGATTGCTGCTGATCCATGCCATTGGGCAACTGCGGTAATTCACGTCCAAGTTGCTGTTCGCCGACCGAACCTTGACGTGGATTCTGTGGTAACGGGCGATCCAAATTGGGACGATTTCGTAGTTGGGAGTCTTGACGTGGATTCTGTGGTAATGGACGATCCAAATTCTGGTGGGTTTGAAAGTCCTGGCGTGAATCCTGCGGTAATGGACGATCCAAATGCGAACGTGTCTGCAGTTGAGGTCGCGGATTCTGTGGCAGCGAACGATCCAAATTCGGTAATTGGCGTTCTTGACGCGGATTCTGTGGCAACGGACGATCCAAATTCGGACGGTTTTGTGGTTGGGGAGAGCCTTGACGTGGATTTTGTGGCAACGGACGATCCAAGTTTGGACGAATTTGCGGTTGGGGGGAGCCTTGACGTGGATTTTGTGGCAACGGACGATCCAAATTTTGTGGTTGAGGAGAGCCTTGGCGTGGATATTGTGGTAATGGACGATTTTGTAATGAAAGGGAGCCTTGACGCGGATTCTGTGGCAACGGACGATCTAAATTCGGACGATTTTGTGGTTGATGGGAGCCTTGACGTGGATATTGTGGCAATGGACGATCCTGAATTTGTTGTTGGTAATCTTGGCGCGGATTCTGTGGCAACGGACGATCTAAATAGGCGCGTCCTTGGTTCTGGTATCCCTGTTGATCCGTAGACATGGGCATATATTGTGAAGATTGGCTTGGTTGGGGATGGAGTTGGAGCTGTGAGGCATATCCTCCGTCTCTTGTGTCAAATGCTTTATCTACATTTACTTCAAATGACTCATTCCCTTCAAATGACTCATTCCCTTCAAATGACTCATTCCCTTCAAATGACTCATCCCCTTCACTAGATGAACCATCAATCTCACCGCCGTCAACAATACCAGAATATACATCCATCGAAATGCCTTCATCGCTGTCGGAATCATCATCACTGTCAAGAGTGGTAGAAAAGAGTATCGACACGGCTTGTGCAATACTAGTGGCGGTCCCTATCTCTCGGGATTTGCTTGTGGGAACAGTGGTAGGTGTAGTATTGAAAGCAGCAGTAGTAGTGGTAGTAGTACTCGCAGTGCCAAAATTAATGCCAAATTGCAACTCTTGATTCCAAACATTCTCGTGAAGGCTATTGCTCCTGCTTCTGTCACCCTCACTCTTAGTTGAGGAAAATTTCCTAGATGGGTTACCCATGGTAACGACATGATTTCTCGGCATGATCTGCTCGATGCTGCTTTCATTATAATTTCTCCCTAATTGCTCTTCTTTCCCGATCATCCCATTCGTCCCTGACAACGAGGGCTTGTAGTATTCCCGCGAGTCTGAGAGAGATCGGGCCCTGTTTTCGATTTGGGACGGATTTAGCCGAGGTTGGCGGTCAGGATGGTGGTGAGCATGTGGTGACTTTGGCGAGAAAGGCAGGGCTGGGACAGGCATGGGTTGTTGTAGGGAAGGACTGTATTGGTTTGATGCATAATAATTTGGTGCTGTTGCGAATTGGTCACTGGTGTAAGTGATATCAGTGGGACTGCTGTAAAAGTAAGCATCACCATAGTTGATTTTCTTGCGCTCATCGTCATGTTGAAGAAATAATTCTTTAACATGATCATTTTTAACGTTCTGGTTTGCGCTATGCGACCTTCTTTCCTTGTGTTCCACCTCAATGGTATCATAACTGTCTCTAATAGCTTGGGATGATTTTTGACTATATATCGAACCGTGGCTGCTCACGTAGCCCGAGTCTGCACGTGCCATGAGTTATAGAAGAAAAAGTCAGAGGTAGTAAAGGGGTGTTAACGTGTTGGTCAACTGTCTGTAATATGAAAAATTATATAAAGTCCGTTCTATGTGGTGTATATTTATAATATATGTATTGTATATGTGTTTTTATATATTAACATTCATGCCAAGATCTAAAAGATCAGAAGGAAATAACGACTGCTTTAGAGATTTATTGGTTGGGAAAGGTGACGCTGTGAATGGTTAATGGCTACAAAGCTGCGTGTGTTGTTTGGTATGGTATAAAGTATGCGTTTCTATTATAGTTTGTTCTATTTGGTTTATATGTATGGGCGGGGATTATGCTGTTGTAAGGAAAGGAGGAGGTAGAATTTGCAGACGTTATTAGCTGCATCCACGTTAAGGAAAGGAAGGACGACGAACCAGCAACGTAGAGTTGACTTGTCGGCAGAAGAGCAAACGTTTCAATGCATCAATGAAAGTACTCTGTCAGAGTATAAATAAAATAAAAATTTACATCAACATTGCATGTACTATTATAATGCACTGTTGTCGTTATTGGTGGCTGTCTGATTTTTGTATGGTTACTTCTAATTTTTGTCCCTTTCGTGCCAAGCGAGATGCTGTGAGACATAAGCGAACGAACAGGACAGCATCACGTGAATAATATGCGAAGAAGTGTGATTAGAATGTACATGTCTAATAGCTACAACAAGTGCCATAAAGCAGTCCAACATACATGAGCGACGCATACATTTGAAAAATCATGGATCAGTAAGACTGATATAGCCCGACATGCAAATGAGGTTTGCTTTCAATTTCGCCGGAATATTTGTGACCAGTTCTATTAATAATGTGTTACATTCGGTGGCAGAGAGAGAGATTTATATTATTATTATGTACTTCGACAACACATAGGACAATCATCCATCTTTATCAATGATTAACGTCATAGATGGCACGATGGTTATTGCAAATAAAGTTATCACCCTGATTGATAAGCATTTTGCATTCATTAAATCTTGTTTCCAATAATCGCAGTTTCTGCCTATATGAGTTTCCCCGACCGCATCGAGCAATCTGCAGTTACGAATTTCTTCTTTTGATGCGACCTTACCATTTTCACATGCCACAAGCATCGGTTGCGTTCTCAATTTGGCATTATATAAGCAGATTTGTGATCAAAGACATATAAATAGGTAATTAATTATTGAAAAAGGAAATTGTTAACTTCCCAACATTAAACATGATAAATGATGAACTATTATGGTATGATGGAAATTGTCGCCAATAAGCTAACATTTGCACAACAACGTTTCATCCGCCCTACTTATTCCTTCTCGTTCCCAATCAGTAAGACTTTTCTATCGAATAAGTTACGTAATGGGTTGATTAATAATAGTGCATATGACGTCCATAATAATAATTATCATTACGATATAAGAAATCCGTAGGATACGAAACGGAACTAATCAAATTACGTGCAAAGTAAAAATGTTTATTAAGAAGACACGGAAAATTAGTTCGAATGGCAACTGTTATATACTTGAAGGCTTTGCAAGATATTACTAATTACTCAGACTATTCATTGTAAGATGATATATTTAATATATTTTATGGGCCTGATAAAAATGTTGACCAATCTGTAATGATTTATAGACAAGGCTTCGATTTGCAAGTCAATGTAGGCTTTGTCTCGTGGCTTTTAATTTCCTACGTGTTATAACAGAAAACTTATTGGTTGGACATAAAAAGTAAAAAGTAGGGGCCGATGACACTGACCTGATAATCGTTAGTGGGTAGCACATATAATAATTCAGGTTGGGCCAATCATATGTTTTAGTAAGGTACATTTATCAACAACTTGCTTGCTGGAGAATGTGTTTATGTACAGGGCGAACGGTAATGGTAAATCCAATTTCTTCGGAAAAAGTTGCTATCACATGATTTCATTACTTGCCCCCAGAAAATCCTGCGATGTGATTGGCCCTGATTACAAGTGGGTCTGACACACACGGTTCCAAATGGTCACTACACTTTTAGCGAATAAAGAACGCAAAACTCCAATCCAAATGGTCACTATATCGAAAATGTCCTTATATCGAGAATTAACTTGCATACGACAACTAAATAATATAAAATTTTTGCTCTAAGATTTCTGTCGTTATAACAAGATGTCGTTATATCGAGACTCACTTGCGTAAGGATTTAATCTAGAGTAATTCCAGCCACTTCAGTCCTAATTTCACAACCAGGGTTAAGAAGCATGTCTACGCCTTAATAATATGAAACTACCATCACATTCTTAGGTCCGGTAATGGAATCTCTTGGCAAACTTGATATTAGGCATACAGAATATTCGAGTCACCTGTCTCTCGTTGTTGATATTCACAATTTTGGCATTGTCGTTCGATCAGGTTTGAGAAATATATGAATGGATCTTCTGATAAGAGTATATCGAGTAATGCTACAGAGAACACACAGTATATACTGTATATTAATATTGATCAGATATTTAGCTTTGCTCAATTTTCGTTATCGATGCTGCGGGAGGGTCGTCAAGTTGAAGCTGTTACTGTCCGCAGATATGGCAAGATTATGTAGTCAAGAATGCGATTATAAAATGGGGAAGGGAAAGAGCCCCCAAGCAATAAGACGATTAATAATTGGTTTTTCCTAATAATAAAATTTCTTTTATTTACTCAATTATCTGACTAAAATACACTAAACACCTATGAATAAGGGCCTCATCTAAGGAAGCTGAATAACAACACAAAATTCTTGTGTAACAATTAATCATCACATAAATAAATTGTTTTTGCTTACAGTTCCTATGCTACCCACTAGTTTATTACTGTAATAATTGACAATGTCAAGCATTCGTTCGTCATCTAACATGCGGCGATACTAGTTTGGGTAATAGACAGATTTGATATACAACTTTTATATTGCAATTGACAATTCGTCATCTAACATGCGGGCATGTGACTACAGTCTTCTTCCAACTCGACTGGCTCGCTTATCCTACCGTGAATACTCCCATCACGTCGACACCGAAGATAAACACCCATGTCTAATCAAAACACGTATACAGTCAACCCTCTTTATAGCCACTCCCTCTATAAGCACATCATAAAAAAACCTCTTTATAAGCACACCATGTTTGAGAACCAATTACTATTGAACTTGTAGAAAACCTCTATATAGCCTCAATTTCTTTATAAGCACATTTTCAACAAAAGTTGCATTGTTCACGACAGTGTGACAATAGAGAGGGTTGACTGTACCACATTGTCAATGTGCATGTTCGTATTACAATGATGTCGTAATCTACACCATATTTCTAAATAAATCATTTCGCCGTTCACTGCACTTCACAACAACCTCTCCTCTTCCAAAGCGCTACTCTGTATTACGCACATTTGTCACAACGAAGAACACCATTTGCTGCCACTATACCATATTACGCGCTATCCTAACTTCTGAAACATAATAATGATGGCCAGTAGCAATATTGCAATCGAAGAACCTTCCTCTCTCGAAGAAGTTAGGAAATGGAACATAGAGCAATTCATAAAGTATCTTAATAAACATAAAAGCTCAGGTTTAAG